TGTCCTCGCTGAGACTCTGCTGTCTCTAAATGTCTTCGCTGTCCTCGCTGAGACTCTGCTGTCTCTAAATGTCTTCACTGGTGTGAGCGTTCATGAAGCTTTCTCTACTCTGATCCATTTTTCTTCTGCGCGATTCTCGTCCCGCAATTTTTAATTTCTTTCAATAAATCGTATGAAAACGTTCGGCTCGTTCAGGACAATCCTGCTATGGTTTTTGGTTTTGGTGCAACTTGAGCCTTTTTAAATATTTTAGCCTTTTCTGACACTTTTTTCCTCATGAAAATCAGTTGAGCTCATTTTTCATCCTTCACATGTTTACATGTTTACATGTTTACAACCTTTTACTGCTCCTTTCACATTTTGTTCTGCTTCAGCTGCTTTCAGCTTCCTTGTGCAATTTAAACTATTTTCAGCTACTTTCAGCTGTTTTGTGCTCCTTTCAGATTCTTTCTGCTAGTTTCAACATTTTTGTGCTTCTTCTAACTTTCAGCTAATTTCAGCTCATTATGCTTCAGCTTTTGCTACTATGCTGTTATGCTAATTTAAGCTTATTCAGCTAATTCCACATCTTGTGCATTCATTTAAACATTTTCAGCCTAATTTAGCTAAAATTGTGCTCTTTTCACTTATTGTAATTTCAGCTTATTTCTGCTTTTTTAGCTACTTTTCAGGTGTTTTTTGCCAATTTCAGCTTTTTTCAAATTTCCACTTTTTTGTGCTCATTTCTTTTTTTCCAGCCTAATTGGGCAAATGTGTTCTTTCTGCTTTCTTAAGCTAATTTAAGCTTGTTCTTCTTTTTCAGCTACCTTTTTAGCTTTCAGCTGTTTTCAGCTAAATTCAATTTTTTTTGTGGTAATTTATGCTACTTTAATAAACTTCTTTCTGCTAATTTCAGTTCGTTGTGCTCCTTTCAGATTTTTTTTCTGCTAGTTTGAACTTTTTTCTGCTATTTCAGCTACTTTTTAGCTGTCTCTGTTAAATTTTGCTTTTTCAGCTAATTCTAAATTTTTTTTTAAGCTAATTTCAGCTCCTTCCACTTGCTTCTTCTGGTAGTTTAGGCTTCTTTCTGGCATTTTAGCTACTTTTCTGCAGGTTCTTCAGGAATAAGCATTCATACCATGTTTTTGCAGGAAATTCAATTTCTCTAATTCTCTCTTTTCTTTCCAGCCTTCAGCCTGGACACTTGCAGAATCATGATCGCGATGCTCGACGTATCCTTTCTGCACCAGACTTCCGGGGTGAAACGACACCCCCGTAGTGGTGAGGGGTCCAGTTCCAGGCTTCGGCTGATTCATGTTTACAGCAGGTGTGTTTGTTCTTGTTGATCTGGCCTTAACCCGACCGTCTCCAGAGGGACTTCACGGGCAAGTTGGGCTTCAATGAGTTCAAGGAGCTGTTCGTGGCGCTGAACGGCTGGAAGCAGAACTTCATGATGTTCGACCAGGACCGGAGCGGAACCGTGGAGCCTCATGAGATGTCTCAGGCGGTCAACGCCATGGGTGAGAGGCGTTCTGATGGACGACCCAGCAGCTCCTGATGACAGCAGTCAGATCTCAGCGCTCTTTCAATCAATCGTTTATCTTCATTAGTGAGACAAACTGTCACTCAAACTGCACTGGTTCCCTAGATTCCCTCTAAACCCGAAGCCTTTTTATTTCTGAACAAGCATCCAGAGCAGCAAAACCTGCTAGAAGATGAAACTAAAGAAAAATAAATAGGAATACAGTAGTCAATTCACTTACACCAAAGTTAGTCATGGAGTTCCTCAGGGTTCAGTTCTTGGCCCAATACACTTTACCTTATATATGCTTCTATTAGGTAAAGTTAATAAACAGCGTGGGATAAATTTTATGAGTTATGCTAATTTAAAAAAAAAGAAACTGTCCAAATGACCTGAGAATTATTGGATACACAGTTTTATTTGTCCATGAAACCCAATGAATCCCATTTGTAGTTCAACTTTCAACTCACTCTTTCACAGGTTTTCAACATAAGATTGTACACGACACAGGATTGGAGATGGGCAAAGACAGACCCCACCCCTTTCTCTTTCTGAGGGTGTCGGTCACAGCAGAGACTCTGCTCTCTTGTAACAGCCTCAGAAAGAGAGAGGACGGGGCAGGTCTGTCTTTCCCCATCTCTACTGCTCAGGGAGCAAGGATGAACAGATCAGTTGAATAAATGTAAAATATCAGAGAAAATGCTTATGTGGAAAAATAAGAGTGAATCAGTTAAAAAAAAAAAAGTGGTTAAGCGCGGCTCACTCGGGTATATGTCAGACCACCCATCCCCCTTTTCTCTTTCCGAGGCTGTCTGACAGCCTCGGAAAGAGAAAGGAGGGGGCGGAGTCTGTCTTAGCCCTGAGTGAGCTGCACGAGCGTCATGGATTTAAAAAATTTTTTTAATAATCGAGCACGACCCGAGAGAGAAAGCCCTCCTTTGCTGTGCTCTTTAGGGCGTTTGGAATATTCCACGAGTGGGGGAAGGGTTTATAAAGCCTTAAAATATCTATAAATACTAAAATAAATATAACGCCCCTACTTTGCAGATTTTCACCTATCTCGAGGGGTGTCTGGAACGTAACCCCCACGATAAGTGAAGGACTGCTGTAACCAATTCTACATCAAGTTGTCTTTAAACAGTACATGTAAGAATTTATGACATAAAGAACTACAATAAACTAAAGTTTTTCAGTATTTTCACATTTTAGGACGAATAAAAGGCTACGCTCCCGTAAAGTATCGAATAACTTTTTATTTATGCCCTCAAACAGCAAAGAGTTACTGAGGCCTGTGTGAAGAGTTCCTTATTATCTGTGGAAAATTATTAACTTTATAAAAATAAATGTGCATCCCTGTAAATGATTGAATTGAACCCAAAGATTAGAACATTTTGACGGTTAAAGGTGACGCTGACATTTCCTTCACTTTCATTATTATTCAGAATGACTCGTCATATTTATACAGAACGCCTGGTTCCAGTAACTCATACCATCAGATTTTACTCTTGAGTAGTATATGTTGTGGATTTAAATATATTTACTTTTGGTCAACTCAGGGTACCGGGTCAGCCCCCAGGCTCTGAACGTGATCATAAAACGCTACAACAAAGGCGGCAGGATCTTCTTCGACGACTACGTGGCCTGCTGCGTGAAGCTGCGCGCCCTCACAGGTACAAAGACTCACCGACAGTCCGGTGGATTTTTCCACCTGTGGCGCCGGGACGTGTGTCTGAGCGTGTGATGTCATTTCCTGTTCCAGACAACTTCAGGCGGAGAGACAGCATGCAGCAGGGATGTGTCAACTTCCAGTACGATGATGTGAGGATCCTTTTTCTCTTTTGTCCAATTATCGTTTTGAGACTTTGTTTTTCACACAACGGCACTTGAAGTTGGATCGTTATAGATTTGACCACAAAATGTTCAACTTAGTTTACCTTTGAGGAGTATAAACCTGTCACATTATTAAACACTTTTTACTCCCCAGTTTTATTTAACAAATAGTTAAAACAATTTTTGCTTAAAACAGAAGGTTAAAGGTTACTGTACTTTCCTCCGTACATGTCGCATCTGTCCAAATACGTCAATTAAAATGGAAAAATCCATAAAAAAGTCGCTTTGCCGTATAAGTCGCACTTGTTACACGTCACCCCTGACCACCCAGAAATGTGGGCCAGTGTTGTGCCAAAAATCGATTGGCTGCCAAATGGTGGCCGCGGGAGCGTGCACGGGAGGACTTTAAGAAGAATTTAACAAGATTAACACTTGAAAACAATTATTTGTTTGCTCGAGGACCCTCTAGTGGCTGAAAATGGTAGTGTTCAATATTTTCCATGTCGGAATGAACGATATCAGATCTCAGCCAAAAATTGAGTTATAAATATGGGAAAAAAACATAAACATGTTGCTTCGCTGTGTAAGTCACAGGCTTGCGAATTTCTGCAAAAAGGTGCAACTTATGCTGCGAAAAGTACGGTAAATATTGGGGCAACTGCCAAGTCGAGTCCTAGGTGGTCTAGATCTGGAGTTTTCAAAGGGTTCTCTCCCGTTCCAAAAATACAACGCTGCGCCCGAGTATCTGTCCAGAGGCAAGATTAAATATTAAATATAAACGCTGGACAGTGTTTCCCCTTCCATTATACAAGCAGGGCGCCGCGCCCTGCTTACAGACCCCCCCCGGTCATCAGCTGCCGGCACGGACGTAGCTCCGAGCTAGCGGCACGCAATACAGACACACTAACGGAAAAAGCTATGACTATGGAGGTAGCGCCATCTCCCTCATGCTGAGCCGTCCTCCCCCCACTGGAAAACTGTTGGTGCGAAACAGACATGTCCCCGCCCCCACCTCATTGTCAAAAATCAGAGTAGATACGAGCGCCCTGCCAAGGCAAGTAAACTAGGGGGAACACTGCTGGACCAAACAAGCCTGTCTGATGATTTAATTGGTTCTGATAACGCTTCAGAATCACACATAAGTGTTTCCCCTACCATTATACAGGCGGGGTGCCCCACCCCACCAACAAAACTGAGCACCCCGCCTACCAAACTGAACTTGCCCCTCCCACCCCCATCCAACACAGACATATCACTAAGGTAGTGGTGCAGAATACAGGCTCTCTAGCTAAAAAGCCCAAGGCAGCACTCGCATTGCCTCTTCCCTCATGTTGAACGCCCCGCCGCCCCCGCTCAAAAACTGTTAGTACAATCTTAGCTCAGACATGTCTCTGTCCCCTCCCATCAGCAAAAATCATGGATGAGATGAGCACCCCGCCATGGCAAGCTAACTAGGGGAAACAATGCACATGCTAACATTCATAGCATTCATATTTCCTCAAACACAGCGTGCCACGTCACATCTCTGACGCCCTCTAGGGGAGGGCTTTGGAAAGCCCTGGTCTATAGGCAGGCTGCTGCTTTTAGAACCCAAACACTGGTGACCAAACGTTCTAAAACTTGTGAACATGGACCCTCCTACAGTTGAGGTCTGCTCCCAGCGCCACACGTTTAACCGAGGACCCGTGCCATAGATCAGCTTTCAAGCTGTTGTTCTGCAAAAGCAAGTTTCATTATTTGGACTAAAGTCTCATCCCATCTCTAAATTAAAGTCCCAATTCCATATAACGGGGGTGACGGGCAGTCAAGTCTGTGTCCCACAACATGAGAATCTGCTACCAGTGACAATTCCATATTTCCAGAGTCTGGGACCAAACCATGTTAAAGGTGACACCCCCTACAGAGCTGGGATTATTATTGTATTTTTCGCTGTTTAAGTCACACCTTTTTGCATAAATTTGCACACTGAAGCGACTAATATACGTTTCCCCCATATTCATAACCCAATTTTTGGCTGAGATTTGATGATTTCATTCATTTTGACATGAAAAATATTGAACGCTACCATTTTCAGCCACTAGAGGTTGCTCAAGTAATGTGGCAAGCCAAGTGTCTATTAATAAGACACTTGACTTGCCATACAATGCCACCTTCGTCTCGCTCCGGAAGTCCTGGAGCAAGCGTCAAATCAGCTGCATTTCGTCGTGTCGCCCGGGCGAAATGCAGCTGATTTGACCATTAAAGTGCATTAATTAAAGAAAAGTTCAACTGAGACACCTTTACTATAATATCAAGCAAACAAATAATTGTTTTTAGGTGTTAATCTTGTCAAAGTCCTCCCGTGTATGCTCCTGCCATTTGGCAGTCCATTGATTTTTGGCCCAACACCGGCCCACGTCTCTGGATGGTCAGCAGTGACGCATAATAGATGCGACTTATACGACGGAGAATACGGTAACTCTTTCGTAAAACAGTCCAAAATAGCCGATCGGTCCAGTCACAGATGAAGCTGGCCACTTCCCGCTCAGACGGGAGGTTTCAGAAATGAAGCGGCCAGAGTGGAGCCAAGAGAAGCGTGAAGCAGAACTCAGCCGGGTTGACGTGGAGCGCCGTACATTAAATGTGTAACTCCCTCGTGTCGTTTACTAAACTTCATGAATTAACTTACTTTAGCGTTCTTCTTTGTAGCTAATTTTAAAATAGTTAACCTCAAAATTACTGTGCGTCATCATCGATATTCCCTCGTTAAAAAGATGGTTTTAATCCCACGAGTGGGTGATCGCACACTTACGTCGTCAATTAATTGCGTTTTTTAGCAGTTTTATTTTTTTTTTCACACGTCTGCTCAGCCCAGCTACCTCGCTCGGCCGCTCAGAGTTGGTCTGTCTTAGACCCCCCTTCAGAATGGACTGAGGTGGTTCCAACTCGTCTCGCTCCCTTCCTGGGGCGTACGGCCTCTTGACTGCCTCTGGAATTTGGTAGACAATGGAACGGTCAGCCTGCAGTCCGGACCTCAACCCCATTGAAAACGTGTGGGATCAGTGTTGGAGGGCAGTTTGTTCCCAATGCTGGTTCAAAAATGGCAGGAAGAGGAGGAGTGAAGCTGTTGTGGCTGCGTATGGTTCTTCCACATGCTACTGTGGCCCCTATTTGTTAAATGGCCATTTTTTTTTCAGACTTCAATCAGCCAAACCAATAACAAAACAAGTCAATGGAACTGTAGCTGAACTTACAATTTAAGGGGAAATAGGCTTTCCAACGGTAGTAGGAAGTGTCACTGAGCCGCGTGCCGGCGCAGCTCGTGGTTTTTGAACCCCCCAGCAACATTTCCTGTTGTAACCAGTTTCCTGAGGACTTTGTGCTTGACGCTTTTCTCTCTCCATGTTCTTTTATTACCAGTTCATTCTGTGCACGATGTCCATCTAGTGCTGCCAGCTGTCCCACGTCACGAGGACGGAGCGTTTGTGCCAGTCTGCGGCTGATCCTGGATCAGCGCCTCACAGGAAGGAGACGGGTGGTCAGTAACCCTGAACTGAGCTGCAGCAGGAACCAACCTGCCGCTTCTGATCGTTCCGCTTAAGTCTTGTACGTAACGAGATGCGCTGAATATTTATTAGGTGCACTCGCATATTCACCGTTTTTATCATCGTCAAAGTATATTTTACTGTTAAACTGTAGGAGAAAAGTTAGAACTTTCAGAATAAAAGTCATCTACTTATTATTAGAAACTTGATGTTTTAAGATGACGTCCCTGACAATGTTCTGGAGATTTAGTTTGAATTCATTCTTTGTTTTCCCTGAAGCAAAATATTTTAGTCTTTACAGTTGCCATTTTGAACTATTAAGCTATTTTAAAACCTGGATCTCATCGAGCTGCGACTGTTTGGGACGAAATGTATCGCACAACATCTCGACTTATTTCTTCTCAAAACATTCGTCACGTCTGGGGCATGTCTGTTTAGATTATGTTGCAAATATCTTTCTTAGTAGTAGGCCTGTCACAATAACAAATTTTGCTGGGCGATTAATTGTCTAAGAAATTATTGCGCTAAACGATAAACATTTTTTAAAAATTTGACAATAATTACTAATTATTGTCAAATTTCAAACAATATTATTGGTTTTGCGTGTAGTACCTTTGTTGACAACAGTATGGCAGTATAAGGTTGTTGGAACTGAAGGATGGATAGTGAGGGAGCGAGCAGCGTGTCTCGTTCCTGTTTTTCAGTTCTCAAAATGGCGGACGCTCAATGTAGTAAACAAGTTCTCAGCTTTTTTTTTATTTCAAACGTTTTACATGAAGGCACAGGTTTCAACGTTAAATTTTGAAGCTTCGACAAGACTGCTTTTTTTTCCCCGAGGTCGGCCTGTTAGCTTAGCTCATAGCTTAGCTTCTCAGCTTAGCTGCTTTTAACGATCCAAAAATGGATTTTAAAGAGAAGAGGGGTCAGTAGCTTTTTGTCGTCCGGTGTCTTCAGTAGAAAGCAAAACGATAAAGCTGATAAATGAAAATCATCGACCTCATTTTAATTTATCGTGACAGGCCTTTTTTTAAGTTTTGCCCCTATTTTCTTTGCAACTTCGTACAATCGGGTCATTCCAGGTGAAAATGTGCGATTGTCCTCCCAGTTTTCAAACAGTCCCATTCCGGTGAGATCTTACGTTAACACCTGTTGTGCCATTATAACCTCTGAATGTATGGTTCAGTAAGTAAAAGCAGGTTTTTATATTCACTATATATGAAATGCACGAGTAGAGTGAAACTTTAATTTTGTCGTAAAAGCATTTTAGGTTTCATAATCTTTGTTTACTAACCAAGCCAAAGTAACCGAGGTGACGTAAACTCACGCCGATGCCTTTTTTATTTTCCAACACAGCCATGTTTTCACCAGAGTTAAGCAAAAAAATAAACACGTTTTACTCCGTCTGCATTTTGTTTATTTGTTTATACAATTGTGCATTATTCCCCAGTTTATATACATAATATACTTCTTCAATATAGTTAAGAACAGAAACATTCAAATCAGCTGTTAAGTGTCGTGTTGTATAAAATACAGTGGCAAACGTTTAAAAAAATGCATAAAAACAATTGTGAACAGCACTAGATTTAAAAAGTGACATTTAGAATCCAGTACAGCAAGTTTGCTCATCTCTGTGCAAAAGTTTGCAAATTTAAAAAAAGAAAAAAAAAAAACCCCAGAAGTTCAGCAGGCGACGACGAGTCTAAGTCGGGATGCAGCGACGTTTTGTTCTGTGTCTAAAGAGCTCGTCGAAGAACGGAGGCAGCGGCCTGCTGGGAACATTTCCACTTCAACCAGGTAAACTTTCATCACCTTTTTTGTCTCCAGTCAGATTAGCTCCATGTACCGTGGGGTTGCAAAAAGTATACACCCCTCCTTTGGTATTCTTTTAGTTTTTCCTTCCTGGAGTTTAGTTGTATTCAATTTGATTAAAGGTGATTTTACTAAATAAACTGCAGATAGAAGGAGTTAATACGAAACACGTTCAGACGTGTGTTTTAGGGTCATTGTCCTGCAGGAAGGTGAAACTCCGTCTAACGTCTTCGGAAGATTCAACAGGTTTCCAAGCAAAGGGGGTGAATACATTTTGCACGCTTCACTTTTCAGTTTCATATATATTTAAAACGATTATACAACCCAAATTCTGAAGAAAAAAAAAAGATGGGTGCAACATGTTAATTTGCAGATCTCAAATTATGTTTTATTGACAATGGAACATAGTCAACTTGTTCAAACTGAAAAATTTAAGTAATTTTAGAAATAACCTAAGGTACTGATAATTTAGAGCAGGTAAACATATCTTTTTTTGCCAATACCAAGCCAGGGTAACTGGTGATGGTAGGGTCTGGAAGGGTGTGACAAAAAAAATAAATTGTGCTACTGTTAGTCGAAGACCCTGAGGGAAACGCGTCAGGAGACAGAGGAGGAAAGTCGAGAGTGACTGAGGGTGGTAACTGTAAATGTGAGGACGATGACGGTAGAGAGCTGGCTGACGTGATGCAGAGAAGGAAGGTAGATGTATCCAAAAGACCTAGTGGAAGGGCAACAAGGCCTGAAGCGTTGGAGCAGTGTCTAAACTGTACCATGGTGTGGATAAAAAGGCAAATAGAGTAGAGGTAGTCCTGAAGGAGGAGTTTGAAAAGAGTGCCAGATCGTGTGATGTGTCAGAAGGTAGGACTGATGCTAAATGTCAGAGGTTATGCTTCACATGTTAAATGTGACGTAGAAGAGAAAGATATTCTGGAAGGGTCTACATTGAAAGTATTTCCAGGTGGTGGATTTTGCCAAGGGGATGGGAATGGCTGTAATCAATACTATTCAAATGAGTGAGGAACATATGGTGCTATGCCACTGTCTCAACTCATCGGCTCCACACAACATGGCACCAGTTAAGGGCCTGCCCACTGTCTGTATCCATCCCCACTCAGCCCCGTTTATTGGACCACCTTGTTTGAAGTTCCAAGGGGGCTGATCTGAAGAAAATGAAGAAGTAGGACCTAATGACATAATAGTGGAGGTTTGGAAATGTCTTGGACAGATGGCAGTGAGGTTTTAGACCCAAATATTCAATGGCACATTTGAGGGTATGAAAGTGCCTGAGGAATGAGAAAAGTGTGCTGGTGCCCATTTTTAAGAACAACGGTGACGTACAGAGTTGTAGCAACTACAGGGGAATTAAGTTGATGAGTCACACGATGAAGATCTGAAAGAGTCGTGGTAGCTAGACTTAGACAAGAGGCGACCATCTGTGAGCAGCAGTATGGTTTCTTGACAAGAAAGAGCACTATGCGAAGTAGACACCATCTTTCCTTTGAAGATGCTGATGGAGAAGTACAGAGAGGGTCAGAAAGAACTCCATTGTGTCTTTGTGGATTTAGAAAAAGCGACAAGGTGCCGAGGGAGGAGGTGTGTTATTGCATGAAGAAATCTGGAGTGGCAGAAGTATGTTAGACTGGTACAGGACATGTATGAGGACAGCAGGACAGTGGTGAGATGTGCTGTAGGAGTGACAGATAGCTTCAAGATGGATGTGGGAGTGCATCAAGGATCTGCTCTGAGCCCCTTCTTGTTTGCTCTGGGACCGACTAACAGATGAGGTCAGGCATGAGTCCCCATGGACGATGATGTTTGCAGATGACATTGTGATCTGTGGTGAGAACAGGTGGAAGAGAACTTGGAGAGGTGAAGGTATGCACTTGAAAGAAGAGGAATGAAAGTCAGCCGTAGTAAGACAGAGTACATGTGTGTGAATGAGAGGGAGCCCGGTGGAACAGAGAGGCTACAAGGAGCAGAATCACAAATGTGCAGGACTTTTTAAGCACTGTTGACAAAAATGGGGGAGTATGGTAAAGAGATGAAGGCTCTCTAGTAAAGATGGGCAGAGGTTCACCAATCTGCAGAAAACTGTCTAAAAATAGTGGAACCGTTTCATAATGATAATAATAATAATGTCATCACAATGTCAGCACTGTATGTTTCCATACAATGGCAAAATTAGTCTTTGCATTTAACCCATCCACCACCAGGTGGTGCAGTGGGCAGCTATTGAAGGCGCCCTGGGGGCATTTTGGGGATGAGGTGTGCTGCCCAGAGGCGCCACGTGATGTGCAGTGACTGGGGATCGAACCTGGGACTGTTGGGTCCCAAGCCGGCTGCCCTGCCTCTACACCATCTCGGCCCCCAATGATGCGCCTTAATGGAAAATTAAGAAGACTGAATATCCCACATTTCAGCAAAACCCTCCTAAACCAACAGCAGCATGGCTGAACTGACCTCACAGCTGAAAACATTTTGATGCATCATGGGAAAAAAGTCCAGGACAGGTCAACAGCTAGAATCCTACATCACACCAGAATGGGACAACATTGTTCTCCATAACCGCCATCAACTTCAAAAATTACTGACGTTTTTCTCCACAGACTTGTCATTTTTTAGTTTAAACATTTGACATGTTTATGTTCCGTTGTGAATGAAATGAGAAGATATTTTGTTTTCTTTTTTTGAACTGGGTTGTATTAAAAAAAACATTTAATTTCCTTAATCTCATTTGTTGAATGAACTAAAGTAAAAATCCAAATTTTAGGTTGTAAGGCAACAAAATAGGAGCTTTTAAGAGATAATATAACAAAGGGTGTGTGTGTGTGTGTGTGTGGTTCCTTTAGACTAACAGTAAAATGTGTGAAGTGTTTCAACGAGCAGAAAACGTCACGACGTAGAAACTCCGCTGACAGGATCTGAAAAATCAAGGTGCAATATCAAATGAATACAAACGGCGTTCAGTGGATGCGACAGCATGCCTGCCTGACGTCCTGCTTGCTACATTGAGAGGCAGTGCAATGCATCCATCATCATCATCATCGTCCCACAGCATTTTAACAGCAGGCTCAAAAACATAGAAAAATAATGACAACTTAAATACTTTAATCTTTTAAAAAAATAGGTCTAACTGCTCCCTCTGTGGATCTAATGTGGCGTCTGTTCTCGTTTGAGACCTTTATTAATAAAGTCGAGTGCAGCCTCCATGCAGTAGCTCGTATTGGAGTTTATGTAGTTAGAAAGCTAAAGACTATTTCATCTTCATGCAGTTTCGTCTAAAATGGTTGAATACATGTGACTCGTGTTCTTGCGTTGGACTGGTGTGATTTATAAAGGCTAGAGCGGGTGAGTAAAGCTAAGGCTGTTCAAGGCCGAGCTGCATCCTCAGCCTAACACATACAAATATAGATTTTTTTTTTTTTGATTATATATTTTAAAGTATTAGGTAGTTTTAACTCAGGAAACTGGACTTTTTGTGAGAATACGATGGAAGACCTAAAGCATGCATCAGAACAAACCCATCAGCTTCAGATTGGTGATGTAGCTTTTAGTCCAGTGGTCTTACAGAGGAATGTTTCTGAACAGGAGTTGTGGTCAAAGCTGTTTTGGGGGGTGTCCTTTTACTAAAAGGCCAATACTAACACGGATTGCTGCCGTCTTAAAAACAACCTCAGCAATTTATGCAAACACTAATTTAGAATTTAGATCAGGGGTGTCCAATCCTGGTTCTCGAGGGTCACTACCCTGCATGTGTTACTTGTTCCTCTGCTCCAACACACCTGGTTGAATTAACCCTTCAGCTCCTGCAGAAGCCTGTTCATCACATGACTGAAATCAGGTGCGTTGGAGCAGAGGAACAAGTAAAACATGCAAGTAGAACATTCCCTCGGGAACCAGAATGTA